AAAAAAAAAAGTTGAAGCTAGACTGCATTTACTCAAGGGCATTTGAAAAGTGTTTTGTTAGACTGCTAGACTGACATGATCCAATTTTGTCATGAACACAAGGGCTGCTCAGCATCTTTTGCATTTGGGAATGAAAATTGGCCTCTCCCTTTCTGAGCTTCTTCAGATGTTTTGTTATGCTAAACAGTGCAAAGAATGACAGACTTTCTCTATGGTGCTGCTTAAATTTACCTTTTTGTTTGTGTTCAACTTTAATTTATTCTTTCCAGTTTGCGCCCAAGGATGGGCTGTACAAAAATGTGGAAGTTAATAATGAGATTTGGGGGTTGCCTGGGTAAAAGGGTGGTGCTTTTTCCTTGAAGTTAAAGCGTTGCTGTTATGCAGGTTGGGATGGGTTAGTCAGGTCCAAGTAATGAAAAACTGGATCCTTTAGTGCTCTGCATTGTCTGCTTACAGACTTGGGTAAGGAGGCTTGCAGAGCAAAACTGCAGCCAGTGTTTTAAAGCTGTTCATCGTTGTTGGACAGTAAGGTTATTTGATCCATGTGGATCAGTTTGTATTCGATTTTCCTCATTTCTTAACTCCCAGTTGCAGTTTTAAAAAAACAAATGAATTGAGGTCAACGCTTTAGGCTGTCTAATGATAGTGACTTGCTTAATTTAATACCATCTTTCCAAGCGGCCTTTGCTCAAAGCGTGCGTTGGAAAAAAGCCTGGACTCTCTGGGTAAGGTAACATTTAGTGTAAGCTCTAAGTTAGTGCTGCTGCGTTCCTGGCCTTCGTATGGCATGCTCCTGAGCATCCTCACTAATTCAGGGAGTTAAACTGACTGAGATGTGTTCCTTCACTGCTTTTCTATTCCCCCTGCATTAGCATTTTGCCAGCTTGGCTCTCTGGATTTGGCTTCTGCAGGTTCAAATAAGGAACCTTGCGAGGTGGGTGTCAGTATGCATGTCTGAAGGAAAGAGGTGAGATGCAGAATTAACTCAGAGTTAAACTGTCGTGCTAATGGAGCCTAACGTGTTTTTCTGCAAAATGTTTTCAGTGTCTACTCCAGAGAGAGTTAATTATAGCACTTAATCGCGCTGGAAATCTGAGCCGTGAGGCGGCACAATTTCGTTGTGTGTAAAAAGGTACGTAGATAACAAGGAACAAGTCTCTGATTGAATAGAGGTGGCTCACAGCCCATCCTGGGTGAACGTTACCTGAACCTGTTTGACGTTTTGCCAAGGCCGATCGCTGTCCTCTCGATCCACATCTGTGGGAAGAGAGGCCTTGGACGTGGTCTGCCTGGCGCGTTTGCAGGCGTAGCCTTGTCCGCCGCCTTCAGCAGCCCAGGGCGGTCGGAGCCTGGCAGGCTGCGCTGCGGTTTATCTGGGCGAGAACTGAACCTGTGCGACCCATGTGGTGTTGAGAAAAGCTAAAAATCTGCTAACCGTACCCGCTGCGGAGCTCTTGAGCACGCACGGTGCTGCCGCGTTGCCCGCGCAATCTCTGTGGGTATGGGGGAATGTTCTCTTCCTCGAAGCGGAAGACTCCGGAAGCGGGGGAAGCCCAGGAGTGCAGTGAGCAAAGTGATGGCGTCGAGGATGTTCAGACCATGCGACGGCTCTGCCTTTCACCACCCCTCGCCGCCGTGCCCGGCGCGATCGCTTACCTGTAGGTACCTCCCGGCATCGCCGGTGATCGGCACCTGCGCTCCCTTGTGCCGGGCAGAACACACCTTCTGCCTGGCTGCCTGCCCGGGGCGCAGGGAAGCTGCTTTTTTTGGGATTGGCTGGTTCAACTGCAGGTTTTTTTTGCGTGTTTTCCTGGCCTGATTGAGATAAATTATCTATATAAAGTGCTTCAAGGATTTGGGATTGAGGTGGGGGAGGCAGTGGGGGGTGAAAAATTAGGGATGGAAAGAAGGTCTGGAAGCACAACATGGAGGATGGGAGGTGGGGAGGTGGGAGCTTGTTTGTCTGGTGTAGACACAGGCCCTTAGCTGTGTGTGGCAAATGGAATTTTGTCTGTAGTTGGCTGATGGGAGAGGATGGGCTGTAGGGGAAACGTTTTAGTGGCTGATAAATGGAAAAAAACACCATACAGTATTGAAACACTGATGTTGGCCAAGGACCTATCTACCGGTGTCCAGGGTTTGGGAAGGCATTTATCCAAATTCATAGAAGAAAAAGATGTAGTGAGAAGCTGTTGGAAGATACAGCCTGTTAGTTTAGGAAGTTTGTGATCCTCAAACGCTGAAAGCTCCCGGTGAAGTGTGACTGTGTATTTACTTTTGGCTGTATATTCTTCCCTGGGCATTTTCCGTAGACCCCCGACAGAAACAGGATGCTAAGGCAGGCAGTCTTTGGCCTTTTTGTATGAGTTAAGAGCTATGCTACAAAACCTCTCAAAAGTATTTTTATATGCCACTCTTTTAGAGCATAAATTTTTGAAGCTATACAGCTTGACATTGATTCTCATGCTGCCCTTCCACGCTGCTGTTGAAATTCATATAATCAGCATCGTCTGTCAGTGTGTAGCCTTTTATGGCAGTACCATTAGTGGTCTAATCAAATTACTCTGTGTTGTACCACTATTAAATCTTAAAGATTTGATTGATCTTCTGTAGTATAATTTGGTTCTGCACACCTTTAGATATTGCACATCAAGACATTTACACCTGACAGCTTCAATTGGGATTGCCTTTTACGTTACTTTTATGAAGGCCTATTCTTATAGCAGGCAGTTTTATTGCTGTGTATCCATTTGATTTCTATGTCCAATTTATCTACAAAATTTATATTAAATCAAGGATTATCACCTTGAAAATCTCATGGTGTTACAAGTCCTGAAATTCTGGGTTTTTTTGTGAACCTCTAATTGCTGGTGTCACTGTTTATCAAGAAGAGAAGGTTGTCTTTTTTCCAAAAGCAGTTTCATTGTTCCAATTTCATTGTATTATCTGCTAATCCTTTTGTCCTTCTAATTTTCTTTTATTAGCTTGTACTTCCTGGGTTTGATTTGAATATTTTGAGTAAGGTTACGCCCATAAAGCTTCCCATTTTCTTGATGGGATCTCATAGCAAGTGTGTGATAGCGGTGGGCTCTTCTCCACACCCCTTCCTTGTTTTTTAAATCGGAGCTGAATTTCCTGCATAAGCATGTACTCAAGAAAAATTATCTGAGCAAGTTATTTTGGAAATTTGCTGTTTCTTTTATGTGTTTGCAAAGTTCTGTTTTCTTTCAAGGTGTGTATGTGCTTCCCCCTCCTCCCTACTTTACTGGTGGATATGCTCTTGCATTTGCCATTTATTGGTGAGTGGAAATATGGACAGATTGGAGAAGAAAAGTTTCTTTCTTTTTTTAATACTGTCTCAGGCTGATTACATTCAGCACTTAAGGCATCACCCGCACCTTTTTCTGTTCAAGACCTTGTTTGAGAGCGTTCCTTGCTGGGATTACTCTGTTCTGTTGATTCCTTCCGTGCTTCCAGTCTCTAGGGTTCTCCCCCTTGCCACCCCCCAGTATCTGTGATTATATCCTCTTGGGTTTTGATTAAGTTTTTGGACACTAATGAGCCAGCAGGGAGTAAAAGTGGTTAAGAGGAAGAAGAATGAAGAGGAATGTCTTGGCTGCCTTTCTGTATCTTGTGAAAAGAAGGTGGATTAAATAGAGCTCTGGAATAAGAGAAGACATCACTTTGCACTGATCTGTGCCCAGTTTTTGCACTGGGTGGGAGGAATTACTTCTCTCAAGTTAATTCTCCCTTTCTTCAAATGCAGCCTGTTTACACAGTTCCATAGTTATCTTTGTTTTTCTTAAAAAAAAACCCCAACAGCCCCATCCTTTCTTGATTCTCTAGATTCTTGGAATAACTTCAGGATGCCTTAAATGCAGTCATCTCTGAGTCACAGCCTCTCCAGTTTTCTTGACTTGCTAGCCATAATAAAAATCACTCCATTATTTGCATTCCCAACTGTACTGTGAATACTTCAGTTGAACTCGGTTCCCCCCGCGTCGATCGTGCGTGGAACGCGCACCTCTCCGGTTTGCCTGGTTGTTCTCTGAGCACGTCATCCATTGCTGAGCCTCGGTGGCGTTTAACTGAGAGCAGTGGAGGAAAAGCTGTATGAGACAACACAAAAAGGTACTGACTACAAATGCAGTATGGTTTTGTCTTGAGGATGTGGAACTGAGATTAATTTTACAGCTGCAGGGAAAGGGGTTATCTTGTAGTGCTTGCTTTACCACTAATTGCTAATGACACCCAGGGCAAGCTTAGCATCCTACCCCGTATTCAGTGGGACCTTGGAATGTGTGCTGCCAAAAATAATGGCAGCTTTGGTATTTTTAATACGAGTATGCATCCTACTTAGGAACATGCACCTCAGTGCTCTGTAATAAATAGTTTTGTGGGCATTTTGATTCTCTAGGGTTATTCAAATACCCAGAAAGCAAAGGGTATGCGTAAATTATTAGTACTACTTGGTGCAAAAGTGTCATTCCTCCTCTCACTGCTTGTGTGTAATGGTCTAATTACCTTGAAGTTAATTCCATAGTGCTTATGTGTCTCAGACTCAAGAAGTGAGCTATTCCAGGCAGAATTACCTGCTGTTAACAATTTGATAATCCAAAGGACTTGGAGTGTACACGCTTGTAAATAAGAGCAAAACTGGACCCGTGAATCCCATAAGCAGATGAGTACATTCAGGAGAGTCTGTAATAACTCTTAGAGGGTTGTATGGAAAGTTGTATTTTCTTCCATTACATTCCAACTTTTTACCTCTTCGTTAGGCTGCAGCATCTCTGGAATAGTTGCTTTGTAAGGATTTGAAACACTGTTGTTAATGCTGACATGCATGAGCATTGATCTCCAAAACTGCAACTGGATTTATGGACTTGAAGAAGTATTTGCTGTAACATTCAAATACAAGTGGAGCTGGTGGTACCGAGAGTTGTTTGTCCTGGTGTGTTGCTGCTGGTCCTCTTCATCCCTGTCTTTTCTTTCTCCTTACAGGTCTTGATGCAGAGTTGTCTTATGTGAGGAATGATGTGGTTAATCACTATGCATTGTCCTTCAATCTCTTAATACCCAGCGAGACCAACAATCTCCACTTCAGCTGGCATGCTAAATCCAAGGTAGGCAGGTGTAACTTCAGTGTTTGAGTACTTGACACATGATCAATACTGCTTAGTGAATACCCACTATTATAATTTAATGGCTTTTTCTCTTTGCAAAAATTAGCATATGCTAGGTGCAAAAGAATTATTTGCTTGATTGCAGGCAATAAATTAAGATTGTATGTATCCAAACTGTTCCTTTCTTGCTTCAGAAAGGTTAAGCAGTTCTTCTGAAGTATTTTATACTACTTGGTTCTGGCAAGCTACTGGCTGTGGAATCTCTTCTGGTAGTGTGTTGTACACATGGAAGGGACAGTCATGAGCTGAAGCCTCTGGAAATCAAATGTAGAGCAATTGTGTCTTAGAGCTTTCTAGAAACACATATTTGGAGACAAAAAGAACCTGTAAAAGCAGCATATAGTATGTTATTGCCAAGACCCGATTAAATGGAATGGGATTTTTGTTTCAGTTAATCACCGTGGCTGGAACATGCAGCAACAGCTGTCATAAAGATTGCATATGCTTTTACATTTTGAAGGACTTCCAGTTACTTAACAATTTATTTTTGTATATGAAATGATCTGTTTACTCTCTGCCAGATGTTAATTCTTTTTTTTTTTTTTTAAACTTGAGTAATAGTTATTCTTCTGTCCTTAAGTAGGAAAGACTGCAGGAGGAGCAGGATCATTTAACTCCACCAGTGCAGTTTCTGAAGATGCCTTCTGCCAGTGTTTTTTTGCTTTGAGGTGTAACTCCTTATGATATGTGGATTTTGGCTTGCAGCTGGTAGAGTGAGTAGAGTGCAAGCCAGCCTTTCTACTTGATAGCGTATTCCACCTTCACAGGCAGTTCAGTCGCTTGCTGTTTGAGTAGGACCTTTGAAGGAGTTTCCTTGTTACAACTCCAGCCATGAGTGACCTGCATCACTGTCCCTGCACTGAGTTTCCTGTGGCCCGTGTCTGAATTTTGAGTAGGAATTTCTGAGCTTGTGTAGCCCTGCTTCCATTGCTGTGATTGCACCACTGCCTCTTCTGTGCTAACCTTGTCGGCTGGGTGTAGCGCAGTTTATAGGAGCTCAGAAACTGGGTTATGTTTCTACTGTTGGCATCTTGACTGAAAAATAAATTGACAACATAAATGCATCCTATTATGTTTTAGAAGGGAAGAAAAAAAAAAAAAGACCTAATAGGGCAAACAAAGTCAAACCAAATTCATTCAGCTGAGTGTGGTGGGATAGGATGGATTTCTAACAGGAGCTTATGACTTAGTTACAGTAGGTCCTGCACATTTTTGAATCAATATTTGCAGAATCAGCTTCTTAAATGGAAACAAAAATCTCGACTACAGTTGAGTAAACTGTTTGTAAGCAATTTTGGCTGAGTAGTTTATACAACTGACTAGAGGAGGGGGAATTTTTTGAATTCCTATGGTTTTAACAAACTGGCTTTTGAACAAGCAAGTTTAAAAGTGTCAGCAAGTGAGGTTCGTGGTGGGTTTTTCAATACACCACTTAAAGGTCTGCCCCAGATTTTTGAAGAATGGGTTCTGTTTTGACTTTTCTTAATTTGGACTATCTCAGAAGTCTGATATAAGAAACCCTGAATTTGAGCACCTAAAATCACCAGCATTCTTTGAAAAGATGATTTATTTCTTTTTATTTTCAAGAACTGTGAACAGATATGTAGCATTTCCTTTCCATGCTGCAGAGATTTCTCATGTGTCTTCCATCTCCCAACTATTGTTACAGGTTGAGTATAAACTGGGATTTCAGGTAGACAATCCCATGGCTATGGCTATGCCCCAGGCCAACATTTCTCTCCAAGGAGAAGTTCCTCGCACCCTTTCAGGTAAACTCCCCACCCCTGCAAAGCGCACAGCTAGTGTGGATACCGAGAGTGCTTTCTGTGGTACTTTGTTTTTTCCAAAATGTGTGTAGTGTTGCATAAGAGTGTAATTTCTTCTATATTAAACATCTGTTTACAGGCCTCCTGCAACAGTTATGCCATTGCTGAAAGGGTGTTATGGATTGAGACTATTGGTCTGAGAGTAATACTTTTTTCCCCCTGTTCAGTGGAGGATAATTTTCCTGAAGAGGAAACATGACATTTCTTATGTATATATACACACACAAGGTTCCCCTTCTCTTTCAACAGCAATAATAAAACAATAGTAACAAGTGCATGAATTTCAAAATCCACACCTTTAAACTTCGCTAGCCTATAGAGATGATGTTTCAAGATGTGTGGAAGTCGTGGAGACATTGAAGTGTTTATGGCAAGTTTAAAACTAAGAGAACTGTTTGGAGTATATACTAGCTCCTCTGTAGAATTTGTACTAGAAACAATTGCATTTGGTTCAGGAAATGTGCCAATGACCATCATTCTTGCTTGTTCAAGTACAGTTCCTCACCGTCTTGTGCTCTGTTAAATAATCAAAGGGCAATAAAACACATGTTGTTTCGGTTGTGTACCCCTTTTTGTGAAAGCAGACACTGGAGAATTGAGCCTGTTGTGTCTGCTCTGTTGGCATAAATAATACTGATACATAAGCTAGAAAGTAAAAAAACGTCGTATTAGTTTAAGCTTTGATTTTATCAGATTGGCAGAGACCAAAATATTTCAGCTTAACGGTTGTGAAAAAAGCTAACCTTTGTAGTATTTGAAGAAGCAGTGAGGAAAACTAAGTTTTCTGTGATAAGAGGATTCTCTTGTGATGACACTTGAACTCCAAAGCTAATGGATGTCTAATGGTCGTCTATCCACAAATCCAATTTTAGTAATGTGTAATCTTTTAATTTAATCTCAGTTGTATTAAAATCTATGCCCTGTAATGCTTTAATAATTGTCAAAAATGACTAGGCATGAATACTGAAATAGCATTTCTTAATAGCCAGTTCTGTAAAAATGTACATTATAATTTAAAAAGACCATTGTCATGTGAATGTTGCTTCACCAAAATGTCCAAAAAGTGCTCCAGTAATTGTCATGCCTGTTTGTTGTCTGTTCACAGTGTTTCGTGTGGAACTCTCCTGCACTGGCAGACTCGACTCTGAGGTCACAATACTAATGCAGCTCAACTTGACAATAAATTCATCAAAAAACATCACAGTTTTAAATTTCAAACGAAGGAAAATGTGCTACAAAAGTAAGACGTTAACTTGCAAATATTAAAAAGCTTTTAGTGCTAAAGTATGATAGGAAGAAGGAGTGGGAAGTTGTAAGATCCAGGAGATGAGTAACAGTTCCCGAGAGCGAATGTTGTAGAAGAAAGAAACCTGGTAAAATTTTGCCTTTGGGAGATGAAAGGGGACTTTTGGTAAAAGCAGAATCTGATGGTTGAACAAATTCCCCAAGTGTTCTGCTGCACTGACTGGCCTGTTGACATTTACAGCAAAAAGCATTTTCTCTGTGCTTGGAAGGAAGCTATGAGTTTCCTCAAAACTGCAGTGCTCTGAATATTCAATTTGTTCTAACAATTTCCAACCAAATCTACTTTTAGTTTATAAATTATGTGATTGACTAAACAGCCAGTTGTAGGTTTATGTAAGCAGATCTTTAGTGGTACGAAGTGGTCTTGGTAGATAATGCAGACTTGAGAAATCCCACATCAACTCTTCCGTGTGTTGATATGGGAATCTGCAAGCACAATTTCTTCTCGGATGGTTGCTGTCTCCTGGTGCTGCTTCCTAGAAGTAGTTTCATAGATGTTGGAAGATTATTATTTTTGGAGAATCCTTAGAACTGTACTCAGAAATGGCTGTGGTGTCCTGTTCTCAGGCAGCATATGAGGGTGGCCATCTATTCACCTGCTCCTCCTGGCTCTGTTCAGTTTACTTGGAGCCTTTGAGGACAGTAGTTGGCTTTTCAGAGGGAAGTTTGTGACTTCTTTTAAGTAGGATGAACTTCCAGAAGGTGTGGGTGGAAGAGCTAGTGTGACTTTTTAGCGCATAATTTGGTGATAGTTGTGTTCCTTGCACTGGAGGAAAGATCATTCTTCATTCGAAGTGTATCTCTTTCCAGTGAAAATGGAGGTCTGCCTGATAGTGTTGATGTTTTTACCTTTATTTTGTGTTTTCCTAGGTCCTTTTTCAAAAGTTCTAAGTGGGGGAAGTCAGCACTGCTTATGCACTCATAGCTTATTGAGCTGCTGGATGAGCGGAGGAAGTTTCTATAGGCACTACACAGCTATCGGGGTGTGCGAGATAAAGCCACTTCCTAAATTATGCAGAAGTGATTCTGGCAAAGATCATGTTTCTGTGGGTTCATAAAAATGTCAGTGACTTTTTTTTGATGTTCTGATTGGAATACAGCATCCGGGGATTTCTGATTTCATTTAGTGCCTAAGTTAAAAATATGCAGGAACTTTTCTAGCATTTTGCTCAAGGGATTCGTAACAGAGCAAAAAAAAAAAAGAAGAGAAATTCTTGTATTTTCCCTCCCCCTTCCCCAGATTACTTTTTCACAAGTTTATCAGGCTGAACTGGCTTGCCAAGGAGTTGGAAGGGGCTGTGCTGGAGAGGAAGGAGCTCCTCACGGCTGGAAGGAGGATGTGCGAGTGGGGCTGTGCCTTTGCAGCCAGAGATATCCCTTGTGTTGCCCCAGATGTGTGCGAAATCCTTCTGTTTTTAAACACCCGTGACTGTGCCATCAGCCGAGAAGGCACAGAGCCCCATGGCTGCACCTCTAACCTCTTCCTAGGACGAGAAGTGTTAGACTGGAGCCAGAATTTCTTTCCTATGGTCAGGGCAGTATTGATTGAACATTCCAGAAATTATTTTCTGTCCTGTAGTAACTGACTCTGTGAGGTTGTTGTTCAGTGTCTTAGCATTCACTCACGTGCTCTGCACCTCCTCTTTCTGCTATCTGCTGCTTTGGACTTTGGTGGACAAGCCAGAGGGGTTTTTGAGGTAGGTAGATTCAGTGGGTTGAGCGTGGCCTCATGTATCAGTGAGGAAGTATCTGACTTAATGTGTCTTAAGTGTGACTTTTGTTACACAGTGGTTAGATATTTAAAATGGAAATCTAGAGGTAACTGTGGTCCTTAAGTCAACTTGCCTATTTGGAAAAGCAGATTTGTTTTTCCAGAAAGGAAGCAATTGATTTTCTGGATAGGACTACAGCACTGAATGTATACCAAACCTAATGGTTTTCTCTTGTCTGTTTAGAGCTTGAACCAGAAGTAAAATCTCCCGTATCTGACAAAAACAGCAGCAAGGCTCTCTGTAAGTAATTCTGAGCGTACAACTTCCCTCGGGTGTAAAAAAATTGTGACTTTTTTCTGTTTCCACAGCATTCCCTATGAAAACACTCCACAGGCAGTCTGTACTATACCCAGTATTTAGCGGGGTTTTTCTCTGTAATTAATTACTTTACCTAGGAATATATACTAGTGAAGAAAACCTATTCCAAGTCTCCTAACAACTTTTTATCATCTCTCAGGGGCTCTGGTTTCCATACATGACTGATGTATCTTCTTGACATTAGGACTGGTCTGGTTTGCTGTTTGACTTGTTAGTACTGAACAAATTGGATGAGGTGGTTTCTCTTACTCCTCTTCTAGCTGGAAATATCATCGACTGACTGTGCTCAGCCTCTGTGGCACCCAAAATGTAGACAGTTTTCCCCAAACGCTTTTTGAACACGGAGCGCGTTGCTCAGTTCTCTCTTTACCATCCGCCATCTCTTCCAGGGCAATTGCTCCGCACGATGCGTGATGTAAAAACAGGGGTGGCTGGGGCTGCTGCCTCTTCATGCCTCCCATCCCTCTCCCTATGGTGCTGCTTTGCACTAGCTGAAGGCCAGTGCAGCAGACAGCCCTCCGCAGCCGAGGTGCAGAATTCTGCCCTAAATTACTGCACTTGAGATCCTGTTGAAGAAAGTTTAGCTCCCCGTTAATGCTGCTGTGCTGAGGTGTAGCTCAGGGGGATGTAATCCACCATCACAGGCTCTGGCAGTGAGTAGGAACTGCTAGCACCCTGCATCTAGGTGTGCGTCCTGGTGCAGGTCACTCCTGCTCTTCCAGCCCCAACTAGCAAGCCTGTGCCGCTTGCCACGGTGGGGCTCAGTGGAGCCACAGCTTGGGTTTGTTCATGCTCCTCCTGTGTTTGCAGCACGGGAGCCATGGAGCAGAGTTGAAGGGTTGTGCAAGGTAGAACCAGCAAGACAATTTTGGGAGATTCCTGTCTAGTTTTTATCCTTCAGTAGGAACTCTTCTTTTGTCCCAGTAAATAAATAGAGGTATGGAGTGGCTCGCTGGGCCCTGCCCCACTTTGCAGTGACAGGAACCATGGTGCCCACCCTTCTTGGGGTTACCGTGGGCTGGCTTCTGCTGCTGCTGGGGCTGGGTACCAGGGCACCTTGGGGGCGAGTCTGGGAACAGCAGCACTGCCCTCCCACAACATCAGCCTGCTGGGAACTGCCAAAATGTCATCGTTTGTGGGTTTTTTTTGCATTTGTTTGGTGTGATTTTGTTTGGAGTTTTTTTTGAGAGTGTTTCAGTAACTTTTCACCTTTCTATTTCAGTCGATCCTGTAAATGCAGCTCCCACCACTTCCACCCGTGTGTTTTATATCAGTGTGGGCGTGTGCTGTGCTGTTATATTCCTGGTGGCAATAATATTAGCTGTCTTGCATCTCCACAGCATGAAAAGGATAGAGTTGGATGACAGGTATGTATTCAGGCTTTTCAAGCGTGTTCTTGGGACACGTTTACCCGGATCTGTGGGAGTCCTGGTCTCAAAATGAGCACTCTGCAGTAGCTTGCAATTTCTGCTCTTGATGTCAAGCAGAAACAATTACTGCCTGCCCAGTTGTGCTAAGTGCCATGCTGCGGAAAGACAGCACTTGCAGGTGCTCGGCTGTAGATGGAGTGGGAGAGTTGTGGCTGTTGAGTTTTTGCCAGAATAGTTGTGTGGAGGACACACAGTGGGGGAATTTGGACAGAATCAGGTCTATGGGGATTGTTGGGATTGAAGGAAAATTTGATAGATACTTGGGTAAACTAAAAATATTTGCTTTTACTGACTTGTACCGGAGCTGTATTTCAGCTTTCTCTATTTTGATTGATTTACCGGTTCATTTTGGCCTTCAGGTAAGGTTTGAGGGGGATTACATCTGGTTGGTTATAAAGCTGAAAATGGGCTTGCTCTCAAGTGTATTTTCAATCCAGAAAATCCAAATTGTCACGTGCACGTGAAAAGGGCTTGTAACGTGAGCCCAAGGGCAGCACGGTCAGCTGAGCTGGGATTAAACACTGAGGCGGAAGGGAGGCTGGAAGCAGGTGGGCTGAGGCTCTGCCGGGGCTGTGAACAAGTTGCATCAGATGCCACGGTCCAGAAGCAGGCAGTTTTGAAACCGAATACTTCAGAAAGCAGTCGGGCCCGTGGGTGGTCACCCACGTTGAAAGGATATCTTGAATGGTTTCTGCTCCTGCCTGCAGCCTAGCTCTGTCTTTTCATCTCCCTCTCTATCTGTTCGGCTGTTTCTTTCTGTTTTTCTTCCTGCCATTTACTCCGCTGGTGTCCCCAGACCACTTGGTTTTTGGGGGGTCTTGGTGGAGTAAGTAGTTATAGTTTTTTCAGTGCTTGATTAAGCAAAGGACTCATCAATTCATTTATGCCTAATTGCATACTGAGGGTTTTTAATCAATAGAAGGTGTTAAAGGATGTGTGGCTTTTTGCTACCGTAAGGAAAAGCGTTTCACTGGAGTGTGTGAATAGTGTCATTTGTGAGTTTGAGATACTGACTCAGCCTAGAAGTGTGATCAAATGTCCTTTCATCCACTCCACTACACTTGATTCCTGTGGAGATACAAGCTACAAATTAGTCTAATGTGAATACTCCGTGGCTTGCAGGTATTAAAGAATTGGCTCTAAATCGTAAGTATATGGCCTTCTGATAATTTCTGTGAAGCGCAGATAGTGGGATTTGGTTCTTCAATTTTGTGAGCCCAAGGGTGTGTGACCTGATAAAACCTTGGATGGGCTCCTGGCTAAGAACTGTGGTCAACTAGTGTCACAGAGGTGTAACAGAGGCAAAATGAGCCTGAAAATCAGGATCTGTGGAATTGTGTTTTCAAAACACAGGAGCCAGCAAAGAGACAGCGCGGTGCTGCTTCAGTGCTTGGTTGGGGAACTGGTTCAGTGTTACAATTCAGCCTCAGCGTCGTGCACTAGCATCACAGATGATCAGCGACTGTGTGATCTTGCAACTAGTCAAGGGACTCGTAAGGGCAGAAAAAGCTTTTGATTTGGTTCTGAGTAACAAGCTCAAAATGTTGCTGTAAAGGGGCTCTGAATCGAAGATAACGGCGTTAGGGTTAAAGACCTCACAGGAGCAAGAGAGGCTGAAAAACCCACTGCTGTTGCTCTTAATTTCAAAAACCAGAACTAAATAAAAAGGGGGAAGGCTGTTAAATAGAAGCTAAACCCAGGCAGCTGAGTTTATGGGCTGCACATGGACTGTTTAAGAACGTTGTATTGGAAGTTCAGAGCAAAGGCTTGCATACCTCCTATCAAAGGCACTTGACAAAGCGCCAGAGAAAGTTGGCATGGCTTAACAATGGAATAATGGAGGTTATTAAAAGCAAGAAGGCATCGTTCAGAAAGCTGACGTAGCGTGCAAGTGAGAAAACTAAGAAAGCTTATAAACAGGAGCAAGTTAAACCTAAAAACCAGAATGAAGCCAACCAAAAAGGTAGTTTTTCAAACTGGCCACAGACATAAGTCTTTTTTCAGACTTGCCTGCAGTGGGACGCCAGCCAAAGAAATCTGTAGGGCAAGTAGGTGATCAGGTTACACAAGGAGTTTCCAGCCATAGCAGGAAAACGAAACGCAAGTTCCGCATCCGTGTTTAATGCAGTGACCGTGCCAGAGCACTTCTTTCCAGGGAACTTGCTGGAGAGTGGATCATATTAAAGCAGTTTGTAGATGCAATAGTGCAAATGGTTAAAATAAGCAGGAACAAGTTGCCAGCACCAGACAATATTCATTCAAAAGCTCTAATGTGGAGTAGCTGGACCACCATCAGCGGCTTTTAACCTCATCCTGAAAACTGTGCTGGAACCGTACACCTGTGAGATGGCGAATGGGGGAGTCACTTTACAAAGGCTTCCAGAGAGAGATCAAGGCCAGCTATAAATCAGTAAGCCTGATGTTTATATAGTGAGAGTTAGTAGGTTCTGTTCTAAAGAAGTTGTTCAGTCCGTGCACCTGTGATTATGGTATAATGGGGCAGAGCTGACTTGGCTTTCTGTTTTTAAAGGAACTCTTGCTTCAGATCTAACAGTGGTCCTTAAGGGCAACACCAGGCATGTCTAAAACTCCTACAGGGATGGCTAGCACTGCTTGGTCTGTGCTCACTAGTGGCCCAAGAAGCAAATGGGATGTTGATTATTTAGCAAGGCAGAGGTTTATACCCAAAACCAATGGCATCTTTGTTCTCCAGATATAGTCAGCAGAAGGGGAGAAGCTTTTAAGTTTCAAAAAGCAGGGGGGATGTTTGTGTGTGTTTGGGAGGGAGATCAAAAAAGCTTCTTCCAGCCCTGCCATCTGAGGTAGTAGCAGGTACTGCCTTTGCCTGCAAGCTTTCTCACCTGTTCCTAGGCCATTACAGCTACAGCAGCTCTTTTGGTGGGAGTTTGTGTGTGAGGATAAGACAGAAAACATCCTGCTATGGTATAAGCTATGGTTTGCCTGTCTCTTGAGTACTACATCCAGCTATGGTTATCCTACCCAAAGCAGCACATTGTAGGTGGCCGTGGAACGGGCAATAAGTATTTTTAGGGAGAGGAATGACAAAGTAAGCTAGGGCAGTGTGGTCTGTAAAAGAGAGCTGAGACAGGTGCAGCAGCACAGGGCAAACAGCCGTTTGCAGGAGTGATCTAGGGAATCTCTCTTTGATATTTGCTGTGGCATCGGAACTAAAGGGCAGCAGGTAGTGCTGGCAGCTGGCATGGCCAGGGCGAGCTGGAAATCACTCTGTCTGGAAAAGTCTTTGCAGGGTGTTATGGGTGCCTCTCCATCTGCTCAGGCTGCTGCTTTTGGAGTTTTGTAGTCTTTGTTGATTCTCAGTGGGATGTTGGGACCATGAAACAAATGCAGATAAGTCTTCTCTGGAATATAATAGTCCTGTTGTTTGTGGTATGACAGGGTGGTTCTTGCAATAAGTGTTTTGACACCTTGATTTTTCAACAGTGGGGGAAAAGTACTGGAAAATAGAACAAATTTTGCAAAAATTTTGAAGTTGTTCCTGCTCCAGGGACATAAGACTCTTATTTTTACTTACCTGAGATACGTTTTAATGTGGGAGAGACTGTAAAAATGCCATTCTTTCGAAGTCTATCCTTGAAAAGCTTCTGGTTTTGACTTTGGTACATAAATTTTTAATTTATTACAGTGGCAAGCAGTCATGTTCATGTTTGTTTTTGTTTTAAAACAGCATTAGCGACAGCAGTAGCTCACAAGGTTTATCCCAACCTTCCACGCAGACGACGCAGTACTTGCGAGCTGACACGCCGAACAATGCGACACCAGTAACCAGTAAGTGTTAATCTAATTACAGATACTCTTGGACACAGCTAGGGTATTTGGTGGTAGGGGTCTTGCCAGTGAGTGGTGTCATCTTCTTGCTGCAACCTGCAAAGGAGATGAGTGGGGAAAAAGCTTCACAAGTGTGATGTGTTCGTGATTTCATTTTGCCCACAGCTTTGCTTGAAAGAACATTAAACTGTTAAAAAAAACAGTGAAATCAAAGGACGGGTGGCAGTGTTTTATATAGCATCATAGAATATTTTAGGTTGGAAAAGTCCTTTGAGGCCATCAAATCCAACTGTTAACCCAGCTCTGCCAAGCCCATCACTAAACCATGTCCCTCAGCATCTCATCCACACACCTCTTAAATCCCTCCAGGGATGGGGACTCCACCACCTCCCTGCGAAGCCCATTCCAATGCCTGACAGCTCCTTCCCTGAAGACATTTTCCCTAATATCCCATCTAAACCTGCCCTGGCACAGCTTGAGGCTGTTTCCTCTTGTCCTGTCACTTGGGAGAAGAGACCGACCCTCCCCTCTCTGCACCCTCCTGTCAGGGAGCTGTAGAGAGCGATCAGGTCTCCCCTGAGCCTCCTCTTCTCCAGGCTGAACACCCTCAGCTCCCTCAGCTGCTCCTCACAGGAATTGCGCTCCCAGACCCTTCCCCAGCTCCGTACCCTTCTCTGGACACACTACATTATTTAGTAGAATAATTAATTTTAAAATTAAAAAAAAAAAAAAATTGCATGGAGTTTGGCAGAAACTGTAGAATGCAACTAATTCTTGAGCTGTTTTTTCCCTCTTGCCACCTGATGTCTCTCCCCAGCCACCTTGTTTTCCATCTTTTATCCCAGATCACGTTCTGCTGTTGATGCCCTGTCAAACTCAGGTTTTTAGGTTTCCCTCTAAATGAGGCTTTTTGGTTAATATGACCTCTGGAAACTTGTTACTGAGCCTCTGGCAAAAGGGGAGAGGAGGGCTTGACACGAAGGTGACCTGCAAACCAAGCCCATGGTGATGATTAACCCTCCTCACCTTGATGAGTGTGCCTAAATGGGACCTGTTCGCTGTGTTCAGTCTGGTTTCAAAATGTCTCTTACCTGTTTTGGGATGCCCCACGTAGCACAGGGAAAACAAATATACGAAGAAAAAAGGTTGGCTGCATGAAATAAACAGGAGGATCATTCTCAGTTTTCCCACAGTCATATTAACCTTGTTTTCAGCAACGTTTAAGTTAAATATAGTGATTATTAAGATTTTTCTCTAGTGATTCATAAACTTGTACAACAATAGTCAGACCTCTCTGATTAATTAGTGTATCGAGAAGTCTAGAAGTGCCAGAAGAGGGCACTGGTAGGTTTAGTTACATCCTGCCCGGGGTAAGGCATCTTGCTCACTCTGTCAAGTCTTCTGACGGTCTCCAACTGAGATCATTATGTCTGTGTTGTCAGGGAAGTGCAGCGTCGGGTTAATCAGCCTCAGTACATAAGGAGGAGTTTTATTTACTTGGTGTCAATAACGAGACTCAATTGCATGACACTGTGTATGAATTCCTGTGTGATTTTTGTTCCCAATCCCCTGGTTTATTATATTCACATGACTTCTGTTGTGTGTGTTCTTTAATACTATAATCTTTAATACATAGGCTTTAAGTGCATGCATGTCTCTGCACCTGTAGGTGGTGCTGAGGTGAAACAATGTGCTTGTGTTCACGGTATAAGGGTATTTATATTGGTTTGTTTGGCTCTGCTGGCTCCTCAGGTTATCCTACGTTACGGATAGAGAAGAATGATCTTAAAAGTGTCACTCTAATGGAAGCAAAAGCTAAAGTGAAGGACATAGCCATCTCCAGGGAAAGGATAACTCTGAAAGATGTGCTCCAAGAAGGTATTTACAGGACTGGGACACTTGCTGACTGCAATGTGGTGTATATGTGTATTTTTTTTCATAGCTAGTTTTTTCTAAAATTAATCGTGGCTGACATTTCTGACCATCATAGCACTGGTGGAGGAGGAGGAGAAGAATGATGAACGATGTTTGCATTTGGGGTGTGTAGGGGGGTGGGGAAAGCAGTTTCCAGAATTCATTAGAACCAGGGAGCGACTAATTGTGCTCAGTAAATCATTCAGCTTGTCTGTCTTAATAATCTGGTCCTTTAAATAAAGGTAAGGGTTAGATGGCTAAGGAATGAGGTAATCCGTTGGCGTGGTAAGTGGCCCAAAAGTAAATCCTGTGAGTTACTGCAAGAGAGCAGCTCTGAACAAAAAAATGCCATGAAAACAAGAAAATCCACAGCCCACAGAACCCTCCAATCATCTAAACTCATCATCTCAATTTAATAGCTTCTCATTTGGAAATCCTGTCAGCAGATGCAACGTTGACAGCTCTGATACAAAAAATACAGAGATTACCTGTTTCTTCAGTCTTGTTTAATGTTTACTTTGGAAGTGTTCATGCACAACATGAATTGGTATTTGGTGATGTTTAGTATGGGAAAATGACTTAAATATTTAGGAGTTTTTGTCATTAATCTTTACTGTTGCAACTTTAAGTGTGAGTTCCCTGAGCCTTGTGAGAAACCAAACTTTCCAAAGCTGGACATCTGAGATACTCGTCCTTTGGAGGTAGAACTGCTAAATGCTTTGCATTACTGTCTGAAAAACAGTGGGAGGATGCTAACTCTCCCCATTTAATATAAGCCTCTAAATCTCTAAGGAGGTAGCTTTGTGCTCAACTCGGCGGTTCGCACGTGGGATGCGTTTTGTGTTCCTTTGGACTGTCTGCTGCCTGTAGCTGTAATGTTGGAGCCATCCCATAAATGACTCGGTGCTGCAGCTAAGCTTCAGATGTACAGCACTGAGTGACAGAGCTGCCCTATTCTGCGAGATGTGACTTCAGTGTCTGTTAACTGGGTCCACACTGCATTTAAGGCTGGGATATTGCTTCTTGGCCTCCATCTGGTATTTGAGTCTGTCAGAACGTTCAAAAGTTAGTCACAGGACTAGAAGATGGATCCTGATGAACAATCATCAGTTGCAGTTTGGGATTATAGCAGAGTAGAGCCTCTGTCAACTAAGAACAAAAGAGCTTCGGAGGGGAAGAAACGAATAATAGAAATGTTTGTATGAAATTCTCAAAGTTCCCAAGTGCCAGTGGAACTTAAATGTATCTTAGAGGTTTTGGCCAGAGACATTATAAACTTCAAGTAGCTTCCATAAATTAACCTACTTTAATGATTTAAAAAATTATTAAGGACTTTTTACAAGGGCCTGTAGTGACAGGACAAGGGTTAACAGGTTTAAATTGAAAGTGGGGAGGTTTAGATTAGATAGCAGGAAGAAGTTCTTCACGGAGGGGGTGGTGAGGCACTGGGACAGGTTGCCCAGAGAAGCTGTGGATGCCCCATCCCTGGAAGTGGTCAAGGCCAGGCTGGATGAGGCTTGGAGCAACCTGGTCTAGTGGAAGGTGTCCCTGCCCATGGTAGGGGGGTTGGAACTGGATGGTCTGTAAGGTCCCTACCAACCCAAACCATGCTGTGATTATGGTTCTGCTGTGGTGTACCAAGTTGGAAAATGAACAGCCCCAGGTCTGAGAGCGTGCAGAGGAAGAGGGGTCTGTAAGGCCTTTTGAATTGCTGGGCTCTTGCAGCACCTGGTTCTGAATCTGCATCGAGCTCATGTTATACTGGATATGAGACAAAAATGTAGGTGTCTTTAAAAAATGGTTTCCAATGGAATAGCTGCGCTTTAGAAAGTGGAGCAGGTGTTAACAGTAAGTGGAGCTGTACCATTTTCTGGTGAAGCAGAGAGATGACTTGGGTGTCCGGTCTGGAATATAAACAGCATGATCTGCAAAAAGCCCAGAGGAGAGTGAGGCAGAAGTAGTGTGTTCACAGTGCTGTCTCTGTTACAGCATGCTGGTGACACACAGTTCCTATGAAGACACAAGTCTTTGAAGTTACCATTAAAAAACCACAAAATGACAAAACCCCAAACTATGGACCATACAGGCATGCTGTGTTAGTCCTGCTATGTCTGGATAGTGGATTGCTTGACAATATTTTCTAGTCATAACTGCCTTTACATGCAGTTTGGAATTCTGGAGAATTCCAGACCTGCTGGATGAGAAAAGGATAGAGCTGGGTTTTTTAGTGCAGACAGCTGATAAAGACTGAACTACCATGAATAAACCTATCATCAACATCAATACTTAATTTAACTGGTTTCTGTTGCTGTCATTAGTTCACTCTCATGCTTGTCCCTTAGCTTTTTGTTACCTAAACTTTTAGTGTTTACTAGGTATAGTTCTGAATCCAGGACTGGATTCAGTGCTGGAGAGGTGGTTGGGATATATATATATAGCAGACTTAATAGGGCATGTGGGACTTGTGCCTTAAAGGCTGTTTTTCCTGTGGCCGAATCATTTAAGAAAACATTACCTGAAACAGATACTAAATTCTGTTAACATTACCAGTGTATTTGTGTATTTTTACCACATAATACTTACTAATTCTATGTTCTCTTCACAGGCACGTTTGGGCGCATTTTCCATGGGATTCTAATAGAAGAAAAAGACCCCAGTAAAGAGAAACAAGTGTTTGTCAAAACTGTTAAAGGTATGTTTACATAAAGGAGGCTTCTTTTATGACCAGTTGTTTGGATTGTGGTGCATGCTGAGCGTATCAAATCTGTCTTGGAAAAAAAAAAACCCTCCTCCCCAAAATATGCAAATGGCTACTGCTTAAAAAGCAAAAGCAATTTGGATGCTGCCTTCAGCCAGAGAGAACAGAAATCTTATATGGAAGAAAAATGCATGTGTTCTCCACTAGTGCCTTCAGTTACTGCCTCTCGAATATTTTGCTTATTATTCTTCTAAGTAAAAAAATATTTGTGTTTTTCCCCTAGCATGTCATTGCTCTTTCCATCTACAGCCTTCTCCCTTGCAGATGGCTGAAGATGGCACTTGCAAAGCATCTTAAGAAACCTTTAAAACATGCATGGTTGTACAAAAGAATGAGGCGTGATTTCTGCCATCCTTAAATTTTGCCTACTGAAGCACGAGTTTTATCATTTAGAGCTTAATTTTTAAAAATATAGTATCTTTGTTCAAGTAGCATGTTGTGGGAGTGATATAAATTGTGATAGGTAGACTTAAGAAACAACAAGGTAAGTATAGATGAAAACAGTTTTACCTATATCCTACACATGTATTACGTGTATCCTATGCATCCCTTCCTCTACACTCATCATTGTAAAGATTCTCTAGTAGCTCACTAGAGTTTTGCTGAGTTCCCTGTACAATAGTTGCTTCACCAGGTATTTTTGCCATTTCAATTGGGTGTAGTATTGCCTTTGGTTTTTCATTTTACAACTTCTTTAATTCTTTCTTAAAAAAAAAAAGGCTTCTGTAAGAATACCAACTTGTTTTCATTTTTTTTTGCCTGCTTACAATTTTTAAAGATACTAATTATAAAGAGGAAGGTGGGAATTAGTGAAGCTGCTACATTTTGTTGGATCTTTCTGCTACCCATTTATTCTGTGCCATTTTAATGAAAAATATGGGGCTTAAAGAAAGCAACCTCTATATTCTTGGTGTGTTTCTCACACAATCAGACCCTTGTGATAATTAAAAAAAAAAAAAAGCTTAGGTGGAAAGCCACTAAGAAGATTCAGGGGAGGAATTTTTAAAGTCAATCTGATTGGGAATAAAAGTAGCTGAAAAAGGGCTTCCTACTTCTTGAAATGGTCTGAAGGGGCAGTTTGGGCTGGGTGCTGCTGTGTTCTTTCGCTGCACGTTGTTCTTGATGTAGGTGGGCCTGGCAGGGTGGTGTGCGTGGGCAGGGGAGGCAGGTCGGTGTCCGATACAATACCTGCTGCACTTACAAAATATGTTGGACTATAGAAGGTTCAGCTGGTCCGTACTCTGAGTCAGGTTCCATCTGTGAGTAACCAACACAGTGCGAGATTCGCCTCCTTTCCTTCACTCGTCATCAGCCTGGGATTCACAGAGGGCTGGACAGTGAGGATTTGCTGCTGTCGCTTTTTTCCTGCTGTCTTCTCTTGTGGATGTTCCTAGATGTAGGGTGACAATTACTCTCGTAGTCACAAGATACTTCCACTGTTTCTTCAGGAGTGGTGGTGCACTTTCATTCTGCAGTGCTTTTCCTCCCTGCTGAGTCTGGAGAGGACTTCTGAAAAGTACATATGCTGCCTCACTGGAAGATGTTGGTAGCTACCGTTTAGCATGATGGTGGTAGCTAGAACCATGTCTGCTGAAGCAGTCATAGCCGCAACTGAAATAATGGTCCTCTTATAAAAAGGAAAGTGTTTTCTTGTTGTGACTTCTAGCAAGAAGTAAAGGAGCATCCTCAATTAAAAAAGAAGCATGCTGCTTTGCGGCATTTTGGGAACTTTTCCCGAATTCTGGTCTCTTCTGTTGCCCCTTCCTGCCACACAGTTCTGATTATCATTTTGGTTTTATTTGATATCGTTTCCAAAAGACTTTTCCCATATCATGTGAACCTGGTGCTCCTCTGTGCACGATGAGGCTAACGTGGGGCCTTGTGTTCCCTTAACCTGTGATCCCCTCGCTGTGTTACTTGGTGGTTCTCTGCCCTGATTCAGAGTCAACAAACGCTATGGCTGTTGTGAGCCAGGGCAGTTTGACATCTCTACAGCACTACTAAGACGCTTGCTTTTTATAGCATTGGGTTAAATGACAACGTTTGTGAGGACAGATCTTAATTTAGCTGCCTCCCATCACCGCTTGCTAATTGCTTTACCAAAACGGGCCTTCCAATCCACTCTTGAAGCCGCACTTCTCCCTTGCAGCGCCTTGTATCTTTGACATCGCACGCACCCCGATTTCTCTAGCTCTTCTTTTGCACTCAAAGATTTGCTGGCTGCGGTGAACTGGAGCACGGTCTTAAGGGAGTAATGGCATTCAGATAATTGTCTGTAGGGAATTTCTCAGCTTTATAAAGGATCTATATGGACAAAGTTTATAATAGATTTTGCTGATACTTGTCTGTGAAATAATAATGGTTTGGGCAGCAGAACGTTGCTAGGAAAATAACGATAAACATCCCGCTTCTCCCTGCAGCAGGTCATTTGCAGTGCTGCTATTAAGCTGCTTTGTCCCCTGGCTGTGATAGCTGTGTGTGCAGCTGGGTCATGTAATAAGTTGGGAATTTATCTGCTTGGGGAAAAAAAAAGGCGCAAAAATATTCTTAATCAGACTTTTTTCTTGATCGTGTTCTTTCTGTGACCACACACACTCTGCTGTTTTGGCACAAACACAGGAGTAGGGCAGGACCACAAAAGTGAGATGGGTATGAGAACTATTAAACTGACTTAAGTATCTGTGTTGCCAAAGGCAAGAAAGGAGCCTGAGGGTCATGGAAAAGAAACAAGGATGAAAGGTTTTGTCTGTGTAGCTAAGTTATCCCCCCAAAAAAGCATGGATGGATCCAGATCTCTTTTGTTTTACCTAGTGGTGCACTCAGAAGTTGATAAAATAGTCGAGTGGTACCCTGAATGACAGTAAATAATGGGAAGGGGCCCAGCTCTGTTGCCCTTCTCTTGACACGCTCTAGCACCTCCTGATTAACTACTGGACATGTCCAAGGAAGCCCAATAAGTAGTATATATGGCACTGGAAGGCTTCCTTGTGCCATGGGCAGCTCGTGTGTGTTGGCTTTTAGGAGAAGACCTCTACTCTACTAGGGAAGGTGTCAGGAGAGGGTTAATGTGCCACTCCAGTAATGGCTTCTGAATCCTGCCCATTAGAAAAACCTGGGAAGAAAAGTCATGCCATAGCTAGAACAGCAGGTGCGTATCATCATGGATCTCTCCTTTCCTGTCTTCATCCTTCAGTTGGTAGCATATTTATAAGTTCCATAACCTTTTAGGAGGGGTTACTTCCAAATAATGTGGACGGAGGAGAATGTGCTGTCAGTTTTCTCATCTCCTGGGGAAGATGAAAGTTGTAGCTGACATGCTCATCAGTCAACAGTTAGATATGTATTTCCCTGCTCTGAGAGGAGTGTTTGCAGCATTGTCAGTTTGCCTTGTTGCTATTTTCTTACTTCTCCATGGGCTTGATTGTTTTCCCCAAAGGATCAAAAACCAAGGGCGGTTGACAGGTTATGGTAGTAACTGCAGCAGCCCTTGCCACTTTCATTTCCTGATGGTTTCTAGCCCTGTGGTAAATACTGAGCATTACTATAAACCAGAACAGTGCTAACTGAAATCAAGAAGCCTTGTTTTTTCAGCACTTAGTACTTGTTCTCCTTTCTGAAGTGATCTGCGCTTTAAAGGAATTGGTAATACATAAAAACTGAGAAAGCCTGGACCTGCCTACCTTTGTCCTGAGAAACTCTTGTAGTGAAAAAGGCCATTCAGAGAGTGTGTGAGACTAGTTTCCAGGAATGTATTGTATTCCCTGTTTTCTCAAGCTTGGATTGACCTATTAGGTCAGACTCTCAAAGGGCAAATTCACTCCTAATAAAGCATGAGGGCAGGAGGCAAATAGATTGGAGTTTGCTTGTTTAGCATGATTTGACTAGCTTTTCCTGTGCCACAGAATTTGTCTAGGGTCTTTCATAGAATGGTTTGGGTTGGAAGGGACCTTTAAAGGCCATGTGGTCCAACCCCCCTGCAATGAGCAGGGACATCTTGAACTAGTTCAGGTTGCTCAGAGCCCCATTCAGCCTGGCCTTGAATGTTTCCAGGGATGGGGTATCTACCACTTCTCTAGGCAACCAGTGCCACTGCTTTAGTGGCATAAAAAAAATTATTCCTTATATCTAGTCTAAATCTCCCCTCTTTTAGTTTAAAACCATTGCCCCTGGTTCGATCTTAACAGCCCCTGCTAAAAAGTCTGTCCCCATGTTTCTTATAAACCCCTTTAAGTACTGGAAGGTGCTATAAGGTCTCCCCGGAGCCTTCTCTTCTCCAGGCTAAACAACCCCAACTGTCTCAGCCTGTTCCCATAGCCTCCTTCTGATCTTGCTCCAACAGGTCCATGACCTTCTGATGTTGAGGGCTCCACAGATGGACACAGTACTCCACTGTCTTCACTGTCAAGGGCACAAGCCATACCCGCAGAGTCACAGAAGGCAAGGGCAGGGACTGGGAGAATGAATAGCCACCCATGGTTAGAAAGGAACAGGGTCAGGAAAA